GGCAACTTGGATAGTGATGCAAGTGAAAATATGGTGGATCAAAAATTGTATCGGTCTATGATTGGAAGCCTACTCTATGTGACCGCATCAAGGCCGAATGTCATGTTTAGTGTGTGCATGTGTGCAAGATTTCAAGCCTCACCAAGAGAAAGTCATTTGAAGGCTATAAAGAGAATATTGAGGTACTTGAGGCATACACAAAATGTTGGTTTGTGGTATCCCAAAGGAGCAAAGTTTGAGCTAGTTGGTTACTCCGATTCGGATTATGCGGGATGCAAGGTTGAAAGGAAGAGCACCTCAGACATATGTCAATTGTTGGGAAGATCACTTATTTCATGGTCATCAAAGAAGCAAAATAGTGTTGCATTATCAACTGGCGAAGCCGAATATATATCCGCCAGTAGTTGTGCACAAATACTTTGGATAAAGGCCACTTTGAGTGATTTTAGAATCAAGTTCAAGAAAGTGCCATTGCTATGTGACAATGAGAGTGCAATCAAGTTAACCAACAATCTGTTTCAACATGTAAGAACAAAGCATATTGAGGTCCACCACCATTTTATAAGAGATCACCAACAAAAAGGGGACATTTGCATTGAGAGTGTAAGCACCGAAGATCAACTTGTCAATATATTCACCAAGTCATTAGATGAGAAAAGGTTTTGCAAGCTAAGGACTGAGTTGAATATATTGGATTTCTCAAATATGTGTTGATGCACCCCCCACTTATATGACATGCCTCTCCTTCGAGCAATCCAAGGTAAAAGTTGATTGGCATGGCATACATCCTTGCTAAGGACATGTTTAGAGCATCTAGACATCTTTCACAATTAATAGGCCCATTCATGAAAATCAAATGAATTTGATGATTGTATGGTACCACTATTGCTTCTATGCTTGACTTGATCTAGTGGTAGCATATGACACGTTTGTGGGCTTGTAAACCTAGTGTTTAATCTAGAAAATGAGCTCTAAGTGTTTAACTCAACATGATACAAGATAACCCTTATTTGGAGGTGTGAAGAAGCTTGTCCTTGGATCAAATCGAGTTAAATGTCTTTGGCAAGTATTCTAGATTGAACCAAATTTGGGAAAATGATCCTCACCCCATTGATTGACATTGATAATCTCAACCTATCTACATTTTGAACCTTTGTGGTCATTGATGACAAAGGGGGAGAAAAACAAAGATATTAGTGCTATGGGGAGAAATAGAAATAGTGTACTAAGAGAATAGTGTACTAAGAAATTGAAAAGACAACAAAAGGGGAAAGAAATAAAGATATAAGTGATAGGGGGAGAATTTGACATAGGGGGAGAGATATGACAAAGAAAGGGATGACAAAGGAAGGGGATCAATTAAAATTTTGAGCACACAATTAGGGGGAGCAAGCTCATGAACTTGTATGGTGCATTTAAATGTGCATTTCATATGTTTGCTTGTATAGCATAAGTTTTAAATTTCGATATTCATGCTTGTGTGGTGTATGCTAGTTGAAGGTTTGAATGATGAAATGAAAAACTAGCATGTATAGGTTAAGTAACTAGACTCATGCTCACATTATGAAAACTAGACCCTTACTTCTAATGATGATTTCACGAGGTATTCTAGTTTTTGTGTATGTCTAGTTACTAATGATGCTAAGGATGGTATATTGATGCACTCTGATTGGTATCATGCTTCAAAGGTCCATCTTTTATACCTTAGCATCATTTGGTAGACATTGTCTTCCATATTTCCTATCTAAGCATATGTGCAAGCTACAATCCAAACTCTTAGCACATATGTAGGGGGAGCAATTGCTACCATTTGGGGTTCATGAAACTTGTCCATGTCCTTTTACACATGATAAATATGCTTGGGCAAGCAACATGGATTCAATTTAAATTCAATTCATATCTTTGTGTAAAGATTGTCATCAATTCCCAAAAAAGGGAAGATTGAAAGCTCTAGTTTGGTTTTGGTGAATTGATGAAACCCTAAGTGCTAACCTAGTTTATCAAAGTGATCATGAGATAGGTAGCACATTCCAAGTGGTGAAGCAAATGAAGATCATGACATGATGATGGCAATTCCATGATGATGATCAAGTGCTTGGACTTGAAAAGAAGAAAGAGATAAACAAAAGGCTCAAGGCAAAGGTATAAGTGGTAGGAGCCATTCTGTTTTGGTGATCAAGACACTTAGTGAGTGTGATCACATTTAGGTTCGATAACCGTACTATTAAGAGAGGAGAAACTCGTATCGAAATGCTGTTATCAAAGTGCCACTAGATGCTCTAACTCATTACATATGCATTTAGGATCTAGTAGAGTGCTAACACCCTTGAAAACATTTGTGAAAATATGCTAACACATGTGCACAAGGTGATACACTTGGTGGTTGGCACATTTGAGCAAGGGGTTAGAAACTTCACCGGCGCACTATACAGAAAAGATAGGGTTTTACAGAGTGCACCGGACACTGGCCTCAACTAGACCAGTGTGTCCGGTCAGTGGAAGCAGTGAAGACGCTGGCGTCAGTCTTCGACCGGTCGCTGGGTCACTTCGTGACCGGACGCTGGCGGGGTGCGTCTGGTCCTGCTAACGTGGCAGCGCACAGAGGAGACAGTGAGTGACCAGATGTTGGGTGAGTCCGGTTGGGAATGACCGAACACGTCCGATCGTGAGTGGAGGCTTACTAGAAGTGACCAGACACTGGGGTCCTATGTCTAGTCGTGATCCAACTAACCCGTCCGGTCACAGCTAGAACCTTACTAGAAGTGACCGGACGCTGGGGTCCTGCGTCTGGTCGTGGTACTGTGCTGCGTCTGGTCATCACTTGACTGTTGGGATCGGACGCTCAGTATTTGAAGAGAGGGATGATATGTTAGCCATCTGTTGACCGGACGCTGGCAGGATACGTCCAGTCGATCTGACCGGAGTGTCCGATCGCCCCGACCAGTGCCTAGTGAAGGGGTACAACGGCTCTATTTTGTGGGGGCTTCTATTTAAGCCCCATTGCCGGCTCTAGCTCACTATCTTGGTCATTTGCATTGACATAGAAACCTTGTGAGCTTAGCCAAAGCCCTCCCACTCATCTTCATCATTGATTCATCATCTTTGTGAGATTGGGAGTGAATCCAAGTGCATTGCTTGAGTGTTTGCATCTAGAGGCACTTGGTGTTCGTGTTTCGCTGTAGGATTCGCTTGTTACTCTTGGTGGTTGCCACCACCTAGATGGCTTGGAGCAGCGAGGATCGTCGAGCGGAGGTTGGTGATTGTCTCCAGCTCCGATCGTGGTGATTGTGAGGGGTTCTTGACCTTTCCCCGGCAGAGAGCCAAAAGGTACTCTAGTGAATTGCTCGTGGCTTGTGTGATCCTCATCTTGTGTTGGTTGTGCGACACCCAATTGAGGGTTTGGCGTGTGATGCCAATTAGCGCGTGAACCTCTAAGTGAGTGAATCGCCACAACGAGGACTAGCTTGTCGGCAAGCAAGTGAACCTCGGTAAAAAATCATTGTGTCATCATTTGATTCCGAGGTGATTAGTTTTCATTGATATTGATTCTTGTGATTGATTGGTTCATTCCTCGACACGGTGGTATAACCATCTTACTCTCTCTCTTTACATTACCACAAACTAGTTATCAAGCTCTTTAGTGCAGCTAGTTGTGAGAGCTTGTTAGTTTGGTTAGTGTGGCTCTTTAGTTAGTCTTTGAGAGCACACTAACTTAGTATAGTGACATAGTCATTGTGTGAAAAGAAACTATAGAAACTAGAATTGTGGTAGGTGGCTTGTATCTTTAGTAGGCTAGCGCAACACTTGCTTCGCCTCATAATTGTCTAACCAGTTTGTTAAGTGTTGTTGTAGAAATTTTTTAATGGGCTATTCGCCCCCTCTAGCCATTAGGACCTTTTACCTGACCATACATGTACATCTCTTCTGACTACCTAGGGCGCCGTTAAGGCGTATTGTATTAAACTTTTTCTCTGTCTTAATATAAAGACACGCAAACATTTTGTGTGATCGAGAAAAAAAATTAGTTGAAGCTCTACCACTGCCTCATCTTGCATCGACGACAATTCACGACATCAACAAGTCCATTATATCAACTAATGATAACGGCGCACATAGTAACTCTTCTGATTGTTATGTCTTTTTGTTTAGTTAGCAAGTTGCTTAGCATGGTAGGAGCACTAGTCATTTTCTATAAAAACAAGATCACACGTGCATATATTTATCTTTGTTATTAAATTCTAGATCGGGATACTTGGAATATAGTGCCTAAAATTCTAACACTAATTTGAGCGTGTCACCGTCCATAATGGTCTTCAAGCTCCACTAGCCTCTTTGTAAATCGCCGGATGCTGAAACTGACGTAAAGCTAGGGCATGGTACAGGCAGCGGCCAAAAAAACACCCCAAGTGGCGAGACAATCATCTCTGCCTTATTTCTCAAACAGAAACAGTTGAAAATCATATGGCAATCATATGGTAGAGGGAGATAGATCTTCCATAGATACGTCACAACCTCTTTGGTTGTTTGGCTACGTACTAGGCTCGGACAAAACTTGAGGCCTTATTTGGATGCGCCTGTATTCATTCTAATTCATATGTGTTTCCATTCTACTCAACACATGTGGATTAAGGAGAATACACGTGCATCATGCATCATGCGAGGCCTGAAAGAAAAAGGGCTATGAAGACGTTAACGGAGCAAATTATTTGTCGCCCTGCTTGTGACTCGTGCCATGTATAGAATGCAGGATATCATATTTTTTCTCAGCCACTTGTCTACTATATGTAATGTCTGTATATGCCCAAGCCCAACTATAATTGGAGTAGGAGTACATCTCTATCTGAGCTTTCCCTCTGTCTCAATTGTGAGACAATCGCTGTGAGGTTGCTCCCTAGGTTGGTACACCGGTTCAACAATTCTATCTTGTTCTACTACTACTCCTTGCATCTCATCTTCTTGTTGAACATCAGCAGCGGTAGTAGCTATAGCAGCACCACGCCATGGCCGCCACGGTGCACAAGCCCCTGGGCGCGATCACCGCCGACGACCTCGCCGTGGCGGCGCCTAGGTCGGATGCCACCGCGTTCCACTCGGCTTTTCGGCGCGTGCTCGACTCGCACGGCCCCGCCGTGGTGTGGGCGGAGCTCTGCCAGTTCGTGCTTCGTCCATCCGTCCCCTTCGCCATCCACCGGATGCTCTATTATGGCTGTTTCGCCGGGTTCCCATCGCCCATGCTGCTAGCCTGGACCCTTGACCCATAAAGCCCCGATCTTTCCATTCAACCAACTCGCCTCAAAGATGTTTTTACCCCTTCTGAGTCCTGCTGATTTCTATGGGAAATAAATTTTCAGCAAGGAGGCTGCCTTGACCAATGTCGGTCGTGTCCTCGAGGCGCGAAGGGAGGGACTTCATCGGTGACGCGTACAAGGATCCCATCAACAGCTTCCCAGAACTCCACAAGTTCTCCAACGAGAACCCAGAGGTGATATATGTTAGATTGATCTCTTCCAATTGGCCCAACGGCCAATTGGGCCCTTGGATCCATGCCCTGATCGAGGGCGCCCAACCGCACCATGGTTGGTGGGCCCCCGTCGCACAGTGCCATAAAAAGGGAGGTGGGGGCCAGGGCATAAGGCACGAGGTTCACCTATACTGCCAGACACCCCACCTACACCTCCAACCCTAAGCCAATCTAAGTGAGGGGGTGTTGCCAGCGACGAGAAGAACCGCCACCTTTCACCGCCGCGCCTCCACCGAGTCTCCACCGAGCACCGCGATGGCCAGCTCATCTTCTGCGAAGGCGGCCGATGGTTTGCCACCCGCACCCCTATCTCTCTCTCACTATATCTATTAATCCCCTACTAGTACATGTTCTAGGGTTTAAGCTTCATCAAATATCAGTAGGTATGCTAGATCTATGGCTAGTGATCCTGTAACATTTTTATCAATGGTATTAGTCACCTAACTAGGCGTAGATCTAGCCTATCAAAGTAGAAAACCGAGTAGTAACATTTAGAAGGAGATGATAGATCCAATTTGGATCTAAGCAGAGGGTTCATCGAACCCTAAACCCAAATCGGGTGAAGAAAAGGAGTCAAAAAGGGTCTCGGCTTTTGAAAAGCAACTCGAACCCTAACCCTAACCCGCGTAGAAAGCTTGGGGAAGAAGAATAGTACTCAAACCCTAACCCTAACTCAACCAAACCCTAACCCTAACCCCAATCGGACAAGATCCAAGAAGAATAGAGCGAGATCCAAATCAGAGAGAAGGGGAAAGGGGAAGGGCTTGGGAGACGGCTTACCTCGCCGCTGCACTGTGCTACCGTCTCGTCGGCGCATGAGAAGAAGGCTGAGCCGCTGTTGCTCGTCGGGCTTGCGTGAGCTCTGGCCAAGGGCGTCGCGGCTAGGCCGCTCGATGGTGGCGCGCTCACCTGCTGGGGAGCGCGCGCCGGCGAGGGGGCCAGCGACGGCGCCATCACCTCTTGGTTTTCTTCACTCAGTGCCTGTTGCTCGCTGCGCTGAGAGAGGAAGGAGAGGGAGACAAATGATGTTAGGGTTCAGCAGAGAGTGCTGGTTGTGCGGTTTTGATCCACCGTGATCACTGCATGACCATCCGATCTGCATCGACGGCTGAGAACTGTCGGGCCAACATTTGGCCCAGGAGGCACAAGTGCAATGGCGACTTTTGACCAAGCCTAGGTTGTGGCCTAGGAAGGCGCAAAGACGCTTGAGAGCAAGATCTTTGGTTGGGCTGCTTATCATTGGCTTTGGGCCGAAAGCACTTTCAATTTCGGGTGGGCCAAATGAATAGTAGAAACTGAGTTATTGTTTTTATTCATTTTCATAAGCAAATTTTGATGATTTTTTTGTCCAGTTTCAATCTCTGTCAAAATTTGAACCAGCAGGATAATTTTTTCAGAGAGTAGATTAGTACAGTTAAATGCTTCTAAAAAGTAGATAAATAATTTTTTCATGTTTCCGCCGTAATGTAATAGTTCATTATCTTCTAATTAAATTCGAACTAATGGGAGAATTTAATTTGAAGAACAGTCATTTTTAGTCAGTAAATTATAATATTGTTATTTTTCTGACCAACATTGATAATAACAATATTATAATATTTATTCATAAGTTTTTCATGCATTAATTTTATTTCTGCCCAACGGTGATGTAGAATTAGTGTATAAGAATGTTGTATGTTTTAATTTTGACCAACATTAAATTAAAGCATGCAATTATGATGTCATATTTTCTCACTATCTCTGACGGTGTTTTTCAGGACTCAACCCAATGGTATTTATCTCGCACATACCACCTCTTAAAGGGGGCAACTATAGGGTATGGCGAGAGAAGTATGAACTAGCACTTGCGCTGTATGAAAATGATCTAGCGCTAACCTCCCCGTGTCTGACTGAGCCAATGGACCCGGTGAGGGAAGATAATAAGACTGATGCTGATTTCACTGCTTGGCAGCGAGATCATGCAGAAATGCGGATAAAATATGACCTCGAACGTAAGAAATAGGACATTTCAAACTGTAAGTGCTTGATGGTGGCTAAGTCCACAATTTCAGATGCTATAAGGAGGTCTATCCCCGATTGTGATACCGCCACATAGTATTTTAAGAAGGTGGAGAGTCAGTTCACTGGCTCTTCAAAGGCTTATGCTAGTACTTTGATCAAGAAATTGTTCAATAAAAAATATACTGGTGGCGGTATCAGAGAGCACATATTGAAGATGAGCAACATGGCTTTGAAGCTGAAGCCAATGGATTTGGGGCTCAAGGATGAGTTCCTGGTTCATTTGGTTTTTGCTTCCTTGCCAAAGGAATATGAAACTTTTGTTGTTAATTACAACATGCAGCCTGATAAGTGGGATATAGAGAAGCTCATCGTAATGTGTGTTCAAGAAGAGAAGAGGCTAAAATCTTTATAGGATGACTCTGCTAACCTTGTGAAGGACAACAAAAAGAAGAACTTCAATAAAAATGCCAAACCTCAAGGGAAAGCTCCTTACAATGACCACCATCCGAAGAACAACAATACTCAAGTTGAGAAGGATTAGTGTAAATGGTACAAGAAGCATGGATACTACCAGAGAGACTGTCCAGACTTCCTGAAGAACCTTCTGAAGAGAGGTGAGGATTTCAATACATTCATAGATGAATCCTTGTATTTAAGTTATGCAAAATCTACTTGGTGGATTGATTCAGGTGCAACTATTCATATTGCAAATTCATTACAGGGATTCCGTACGAGGAGGACCCTGCAAAGAGGAGAAAGAAGAATTAAAGTTGCAAATGGAGTTGAAGCTAAAGTTGAAGCCATTGAAGATCTATCTCTAGAATTAGATGATGGTTTTAGACTGTAGCTTTCAGATATTCTTTATGTACCCTCTTTGCAAAAAAAACTTAATAAGTGTTTCACGTTTAGATGATGGATATGATTGCCATTTTGGTAATGGCAAATGTAGGATTGTGATTAATAATAAGTGTGTTGGTCTTGCCTTCCGACAAGATAAGCTTTATTTATTATCACTTTGTGGGAATATGAATTATGTAAGTACTGAGAATGAGAATTCCTCTTCGTCTATGAATGCAACAAATAAGCGGAAGAGAGTGCATGATGTATCTTTGAAATTATGGCACTATCATTTAGGCCATATTTTGAGGAGGAGAATAGAGCAATTAATTAAGAAATCAATTCTTCCACCTTTAGAATTTTTAGATTTAGAACAATGCATAGATTGCATAAAAGGAAAGTATGTTAAGAAAATAAACAAAGATGCCAAACGAAGCGCAAGAATTTTAGAAATAGTTCACACAAACATCTGTGGTCCTTTTCCTGTGAAGAGTGTGGATGGTTATGATTCATTTATAACATTCACAGATGATTGTTCTCGTTTTGGCTATATTTATCCAATTAAGGAAAGATAGGAAGCATTGGATAAATTTAAAATAGTCAAGGCTGAAGTAGAAAATCGGCACAACTTAAAGATTAAGGTAGTAAGGTCCGACCATGGGGGAGAGTACTATGGTCGACACACCCCATATGGCCAAGTTCCTAGACCCTTTGCAAGGTTCTTACAGAAAAGTGGCATAGTAGCCTAGTACTCTACACCGGGCAAGCCTCAGCAGAATGGAGTAGCTGAAAGACACAACCGTACCTTAATGGATATGGTAAGAAGCATGATAAGTTACTCTCCTTACCGATAAGTTTATGGATGGAGGCGTTGAAAACCACCATTCATATTCTTAATCGAGTGCCAAATAAGTCGGTGCCCAAAACACCGTATGAGTTGTGGACATGAAAGGAACCGTCACTAAACTATTTACGTGTGTGGGGTTGTCCAGCTGAGGCAAAAGTATTTAACCCAAACATAGGGAAGCTGGACTCCAAGACAGTCAGCTACCATTTCATTGGCTATTCAGAAAAGTCAAAAGGTTATCGCTTCTATTGTTCTGACAGACAAACGAAGTTTATAGCAACAAGACATGATGTCTTCTTGGAGAAAGATATGATCAGGGGGAGCATGGTAGCGTGAGAAATAAGTTTTGAAGAGAAGCGAGTATACGTGCCCACTCCTACGGTTTAGGAGTCATTCTTCACACTACCTGTTGTTGCTGTACCAATAGTGCAAGACACTGTAGTAACAACACCTATTGTTAGTTCTCCTATGGCAACAATGAATGAACATGAGGAACCTGTCCTTCAGGATCCCCAAGAACCCATTGTCACACATGAGGGAGAGCAACAACAACCTCATGTAGAACAAGTGTCATCTAACGAGGCCCCTAGAGAGTCTCAAAGAGTTAGGAGATCAACAATTCCGGATGATTACGAAGTTTATGAATGTGAGAAATTTCAAATGAAGGGTGATCCCACCTCATTTGAAGAAGCCATGAGAAACGCTTACTCATCTGTTGATGCGGGACCCACAGGATACCCCGCAAGAGAGATAAAAGATCTAGTTCAACTAGGATTCTTCCCATGTAATCTTAATAGTAGAACTATTAAGTAATCCTACTAGAAAATCTCATTGTAAACCGACTAGGACTCTGGCCTCCTGACAATATAAATGAGGGCAGGGCTCCTGAAAGAGATAATAATTGTACAACATAACACTTGATAATCAATCCAACGCAAAGGCAAATGCCGATTGGATGTAGGGTCGTTACTCGATCTACGATCGAGGGCCTGAACCAGGATAAATCGACTGTCTCTTGCGTTTACCATCGAGTTCAGCATACGCCAAAGCCCGAA